GCTGAAATGGTCCAATGGAAAGGCAAGAGCCAATACAACTGGTTCCAGCAATGTTAATGGATCAACAGAGCATTAAAACAGTAGGAGGGGTCAAAAAACAAAAAGAGGGGGAAGACCCAGAGTGGTGTAATGTCATGGATAATGATGGAAGTAGAACTCAGGAGACCTGGATTAAAATCCTCGACCAACCATGGAAACTCAATAGGGAGTAACAATTATAAAACCATCCCTGACGTTTCTCCTAGAAACCTTGTTAGGTTCATATTAAGTAGAAAGCAACTTAATGGCACAGAACACATAGACACAAGGGAGAGGAGTCGCAGCGCATGAACGGAAAAAGAGAATTAGGGAAATAAAGGCTCGGCTAGACCTTCGACCATCTTCCCAATCATAGCATTTGAGCCACCCAACCGGCCGTAGCATTCTGAGCATAGCAGGCAAACATTTGCCTTCAAGCTCCTTGCCTTCGCGGCGAGGACGTGACAGCCAGACGTTCTCAGCATTGCTTGCTCGGAATAGTACCTTCAGACCTCCACTGAGGTGGAGTAAGAGGCAACCGCAGGAAACAGACGCTTCAAAGTGGAAGTAATGGATTCCTTAGAAAGAAAGAGCCCTCTCTCTCCAGGAACCCTTGTAGACTTGTGGCCCTACAGCAGCACCCAGTGGCCAATGCGGTAAAACTCGAAAAGCCTTTTCTTCTCCTTTCAGAGGTGGGACGTCATGATCATCTCTAAATTGACTTTGGATGTGGCCGCTCTGTTTTAAGTATGTTCCATGACATACAAACCATTCTTCAAGGTTCTTCCAACAAAACGTCCCTTCTCCTTCCTGCACCCTTTCCTCCCGTTCATTTTGCCCCGAAGGATCAGCTGTGACATCCATTCGTTTGTTGATGGAGTAAAACAATCCACGCTGCTCTTGGAACAACGTGTTCTTTCTGAAATGTTTTTCCTTTTGTTTTGTGATTTTTTTTGGGGGGGGTGGCCTTTATCCATCTGGCTTAATACTTCTTTAGTCATCCTCTGGACCCAATACGCATGGCATGGCAAGGCAGGCCTACCCACAAAGCGGCTGAGATATAGCCTTCCATCTTGCCTCCCTGGCTGAACGAAATTCCAGCTGTTCCTGTTTCTTTGCGTTCCTAAATGGACAGGCATGTTCGACACCCTGGCCGCTGACCTGTGGGGTCCTTCACAATTCTGTTTGGTCTCCTGTGTTATTCAACATCTACATGAAACCGATGGAAGAGAGATGGTCCAGAGTTTTGGGGTTCGGTGTCCCCAGTGTGTGGATGGCACCCAAGTCTTCCCTTCCTTTACCCCTAAATCCGGGGAAGCTGTTTCAGCTCTAGATCGGTGTGTCTGGTGTCAGTCACAGACTGGATGAGGGTGAATAAACTGAAACTTAACCCAGACCAGACAGAGGTACTCCTGGTCAGTCGAAAGGCAGATGAAGGAAGAGGGATGCATCCAGAACTGGATGGGATCCCAATCCCCATGAAAAAATAGCTGTGCAGTTTGCTTGGGGAGGGTTCTAACTTGTCTCTAGCATTTCTAAATACTAACATACTCACAGACTGATTTCTAAAATGGACACTGAATCCTGACTGAGGTAATAGACACTAAGGTACAGGGAAAAACAATTGGTTCCTCTAAGTGATTGGCATTCACCCTACATCCCTCCCAACAAAACCTCAGAACGGCACAATATGATAGTTGCTCTTCCAGCAAAAGAGACATATAGGTCACTCCTCTCCCCAACTTCCACTGGAAAAAAAAACAGGTGCACAGCTTGGAGCTGCTCATGGTTTCCTCCCTGAGCCTAGATGCCCAGGTTTCAATTGAAACTAGTGTGCCAGCTGCATCCATTTCTTGAGAGATCTGATCAGGCCATTGTGATACATGCCCTAGTTACTTCCTGGCTGGATCACTGTAATGTCCTCTTTGTAGGGCTGCCAATGGAAAGTGTCAGAAAACTTCAACGGGTCCAAAATGCAGCAGCCAGGTTGCTGACTGGGGCTGCTTACAGGAATCACACAAGCTCGCTGTTACAGCAGCTCCACTGGCTGCCTATCAGCTACCAGGCACAATTCAAAATGCTGGTTTTAACATACAATGCCCTAAATGGTTTGGGTCCAAGCTATCTCAAAGACCATATCTCCCATTATGAGCCAGCCCAAGTGCTAAGACCATCAGGAGAGGCCTTTCTCTCCGTCCCGCCACCTTCACAGGTACATCTCATAGGGCCTTCTTTGTCATTGCTCCCATACTTTGGAACTCCCTTCCACAGGAGACCAAGTTGTCCCCATCTTTGCTGTCCTTCCACAAGCAGGCAAAGACCTTTCTCTTCAGACAAGCCTTCCCTGAGTAACTAGCGACCTGTGTGTGATTTTTAGATAGATTGCTATGTATTACTGCTTTGATTGGATTTTTGTTTTCTCCATTTTTGTGTTTTGCATTTCTCAGAGTGCCATTACTTACTGATCTTTTTTAAAAAGTATACTTATTGATCTTTACCTTAATATTGCCCGTTAGTGATGTAAGATGCCTCTTTACTCATTGTTCATAGTTTTAAATATTGTCTTTTAATTTTGTTAACCACTGTTGTATACTCATTCTTTTCAGCTTTAACTATTGTTTTTTTAATTTTGCAAACCAGCATTGGTTCTTTTCAGGGAGAAAAGCAGGGTAAAAATATTTTAAATAAATACATAAATAAATGCTTATCCTTTTTCCTCCAGACATGAGAAAAAGTTAATGCTTGGCCCCAAAACACACCCAAACACAGAAATGGGCAGCATCAAAAGAAGTGGATGTAAAAAGAGTTGTGGGGTAGCAAGGGATCTAATCCTTATGACTTTGTATGAGGACACTCCTGAATCAAGGGCTGATATAATGGTTGAACCCCAACCGATTCCCAGACAAAAATCTAACTTTCCATTTACTGGGTGTCACTAATGTCACAGTGCTGGATGCAATCAGCCCACCCATCCGTTTCATCCTTCTCCCAAATGAATGTGCCAACGTATGGGCCATGACTAGAGATGGGCACGAACTGTCAGCTGGGCGGTTCGTTGCAGTTCATTTCCTGGCTGAACAGCTGATCCGCAGTTCGGCACCACGCCCCCTCCAGCAGGCGGCCACTTGCCGGCAGCACCCAGAGGAGGCAGGGCGGGGCAGGGGGGCTGCCGCTGAACGGGCACCTGGTGGAGAGGGAGGGATGTTGAACTGCAAATCAGCTGTTTGGCCAGGAAATGAACCCTGCGGAACCATCAGTTCGTGCCCATCTCTCGCCAGGATTCCAACGGAAAATTCTATTTTTAAAAAGTGACCCAATTATCTTAGATTTCCCTTTGATAAAAAATAACAACTCACATTCCGGACAGGAAAACAGAAGCATATTCTAAATCTCATTTAATGTTGTAAAAAAAAAATACATACATTTTAAAAAACATATTGAACAACATGCAGGTGTCAACATTTTCTGTCAGCTTAGACTGAGCAATTCTACACTTTGACTGAAGTATTGTGAGTGGCTTTATGTGTAACTAATATCCAGAAAATAAATATATTGCGTTCAAATTCATACATCACACAAGGAAGGCCAGGGAGTCTCTGAATGGCGTTAATAACTCTTTGGAAGAGTTTTCCAACCCTGTAATGGCTTGGAATTCATCACTCTGGATTTGCACCTCTTCTCTCCTCCAGACGCAAAAGCTGCACTGAGAGAGGATAACTTTCCAGTCTGATATCAAATTCAATAAGGTCTCTGTAAAGTCATCATCACTCAAGCCTCCCAAAGGAGACAGCTTTCCTGTCCATCCCAAACCTGAGGCTGTACAAGTGTGGGAACAAGATCACAGACGTTTCGCAACCAAATGGCCCACACCATGGAAGGCGGTAGCACTGGCATAAAAGGGTACTCTCCGTCTGTCCCACCTGGCATGCCAGCATCGAACTGGGCACCCAATCAGCTAACTGTCCAGGCAAGCTCTCGGCAGCATGATCTGAACCAGCAACACCCCCCACACACACTTCACAGTACCTGGCGTTCTAATCTTTTTGGTTCAGACAAGGTGGCATTTTGCTAGCTTAACAGAGCTTTGTTAAAGTTCCTGCACAGTTTTCTCTGCGAAGGAAGAGCTGATGGCAGCTTCAGTGGCCTCCTGTCACTTAAAACAGGATGGAGAGCAAGTATCTGAGGATGGAAGGTAGGAAAAATAGCTGCCTTAAAATAGAGAAAAAAATTATTTTCATTAGCCAAGACATTGCCAGATTTCATCTACCCCACTGGATTTCACCCGCTTCAGTGTAGCAGCATTTCATACCTCCAAGGCTGCCTCACTGGTCTTTTAAATTTAGCCTAAATGCATGAGCCAGAGAGTACGGGACTGGACCAGTAATGAAATGAAGTGGGGCGGGGGAAGAATGTATCCTGGGCTGAGTTTCCGGCTTTGGAAAAATAAGTGGTACATTTTTGTAGAGACCCGTCTGTACTTAAAGCAGACAGAAATGTCAGAATATTTCATGATAATTACACTGCCTACTGCGGTGACTGGCAAAGGATTGTAGTCTTTACGGCGTGTCTGGACGATAAGAAGCAGAGAGCTGTAAACATGGGCCATGACAAGGGGAAACGACAGGTTACCCACGTGTAATTGTAGTTCTTCGAGTGGACCTCTGTGATTCACGCCCTGGGTGATTTGCGCGAATCACCCAGTGTGTGATTCACGGAGGCCACGAAGAACAGGTTGTAGAAGAGAGCTGAAGAAGTCAAAAGCTCAACAGGGGTAGTTCCTGGGAAGGTAAGAGGGCACAAGGTGAAGGAAAACCTCCGTAATGCAACACAGCGTACGTGAAAGAGAAGTCTGGAAAGTGCAGCTGCAATATGCGGCGAACGATGGGGAGTTTACATGACACTGCATTTGTGGTGGTCAGAAGACTGAGCTTCACTCTGAAAGGGAGACGACTGCAGAGGAAGGAACGTGGTTGCGGATCTGCAGAAGTTGACAAGTATAAAACCACTGCCTACGGCTTAAAGTGCACAATGCATACTTATATAAACACACGACAGGCGAGAGCCTTGTTTACGGCCCTTCTTTTTCTCTCTCCCAGTTGATCTGATCAAAAAGTAAAATAAATAATTTGCATTTCAGGCAAGTAAAGCCCATCCAGTGGGCCTCAGTCAAGTCCTTCCTGAGAGCGCTTGCTTTTGCTTTCTCATAGAGGAATTCCAGAAAACAGGCCAGCGGAGTGAGAATCTCGGGGCCTCTCCTTATTGGAACACTCTGGTGGTGCTCATCAAATTATCTTCTGAAAATAGTCCAACCAAGGTTGCAGGGTGAAAGTCACCTAACTGGCAGTCGGGTGAACAAGTGTTTCCTACGTCCGGGGTTGCTGTCGCATTCGGGGGCATCTGGGCCAATGCCAGACACTTCTTTGCTAAACAATGCTCTGAAACACTCACAGAAGTAGTGACAAAAGGCTCCCACTGGCCACAAAGTTTTGTGAAGATGCTCTAATGCGCCATATTCCAGCAAATTGCATGCTGCACGCCAGACCTCAGAGAGGCTCTACAGCCAAGCCGTCTACCTTTGCTGGGAGCCGTGCTGCAGGCAAGGCAAGACAATAAACTGGTTTTGTGCCTAACAGGCCCGGATCCAATTTCACGGAGCACTCCAGCAGTACTGCCTAATAGTCCACCCTCTGTACTGTGTCTCTCCAGCTAAGTCTCCTGGGGAACACTTCATCAACACCAACAGAAAGCCAGCTCCCTGAAATTTTAGCAAGTGGGAAGAGCAGTCAAGGAAGGGGAAAAAAAAAACAGTAAATAATACTTCCTGCAACTCTGTTGAGCCTTGAATCCAATATGAATGCTTTGTTTGCTCTACACTAGGATTTTGTTTTAAAGGACCGACTAGAAACTGGGCCTCAACGTGACTGCATCCCTAATGCAGGAGAAGAACAAAGGCCAATGGCCTTGGAAATGTCTTGCTGACTCCAGGGAATAAGGAACAGAAACGTGTAGAGGGTTCTGCTTCAAGGGGTGAAGGGAGCAGCCCTCTTCCTGACCAAAAGCTCCAGGGGATATTGCTTGTCGTTATTCACTTAAGAGCTCATAGCAGCTTCCAGTGCTCCAGTTGTTGTTGCAGTATTTTCTTACCCACGCAGCATTAAGAGACTCTAAGAGCACAGGAACCTGACATGAATCCTACAGAGATCTACAAAGGGAGAGGTGTTTGGCCCTTAAGAAAGGAGTCAGCCCTAAGTGCCACCTCAACTGGTGAAGTGCAGAAACAGAAGTCACTCAAGGAGAAACCAGAAGACACAAAACATAAGCACCAAAGTTCGGATAACAAAGCAAACCAATGCAATAGAAACAAGTTATTTCACAAAGGAAAAACATCTTTTAGAGAATATTCAAACAGAAGCCAACTTTCCCGCAGGAAAAAGGAAAACAATATGACAGTAACGATGGCATTTAGAGAGATCTGGGAATTCACCAGACATAAACAACCTAAATCAGGTTGCTTGCACCAGTGTGAGGAATAGTTCCAGATGAACTGGCTGCCTACACCAAATGGGGTCTGCTTGCTGTAGGTCTTGAGGGCTTCGTTTCCACCATCCGTCCTTGAAGCAGGAGGAAACGCTTGCTGCCTCCCAAACGGACAGGAGAATGGCCCTCTCAGAGGGGTTTCTGATCACCCACCCTTGGGAGAAACAAGCCGCTTCCTCCTTGTTTACTTGATGTTTTTCAGCAAGGCCGTCCGTGCATTAACCACAGCTTTGAAAGCGTCCTCACTGCCAGGAGCCATGCACTTGTCTGGATGGAGCAGCACCGCCAACTTCCGATAGGCCTTGTTCACCTCGTCCCTGGCGAGACAAAACAAGTCTTGATCAAGAGTGGACGTAACCACAGACAACAGAGTGAGATGTGAGGGCTCAGAGAAGCCTTAGTCTGTGCGAAGCCCTATGGTCGAAATTCAGTGGCTAGTCTCAATAAGAGTAGACCTTTTGAGTCAACTGCTCAATGGTCAGTCAACACATACGTAACCTCCCCTGATTTCAATGGGATGACCGTACGTGGAACTAGCAACTGGATTTAGATTTGTGTGTCCTGACTTCACCCACGAGGCTCATAAACCCAATGACCCCTTCAACGACAGAAGGCTAAGCTCTGAAGTTACTTCATACCGTGATTTTCAAACTAGGATTGCTTCTAATCACAAGGGTCATTCCATTTTTAACCTTAACCAAGTAAAACAGACACATGAAAATGTGCTCAGTTGCTACCTATCCCCTCTCTAAAACAGGCAGATGAAGTACTCTACTATAAATACACCAACGTTCTGAAATTCATGGAACGTTTGTCTCCCGCACTTTGATCTACATCCCCTTTATTGGGAGAAGGCGGTCTGCAAATCAGACAGACAAACAGATAAAATTAAAATGGCAACTTTAACAAACACACTCTTCTCACAGGATGGGGGAAGTGGCAAAAGTGGTAGGCTGGATGCGCAAGCATCATGAGAAGGTTGCCGATAAGACATTGGGAGCACCAGAAACAGATGCGCTGGGAAGAGGGAGGGGTTGGGACTGCCAATTGCAAAGGAAGTCCAAGCTTCCCACAATGAAAAAAAAAACCCACACTTCCTCTTGCCGCAAATGACCGAGATGCTCTTCTTTCACCAGTGCCCCACTCTAGGGCTTCCATGGTGGTGTCCCGTCCCTTCCTTCCCAGCTCGGTTCTACATTGCTGCCGTCTACGTCAACAAGGACAACGCTCTCTCTAAGGTCTTTGGGGGGGGGTCTCCGTTACCTTGTGGCCCCTGGTTTGACACCCAGCATGTCCCAGCTGTCTTTACTGCTGCGGATTCTCCGGATGGTGTCTGCCTGCTCCTTGGTGAAACTGATGCTCATGCTGGCCACAGGGCGCTTCCCACCATTGTCGCACAAATCGACGATGGCCGAGTAGAACGTCTGCAAAAACGAGAAGGCAACGTTGGCAAATAGTCAAGACTTGGGAAGGGAGAGTAGAACCAGGGCAGGAAAAGAAAAGAGAGAGCCGACAGCGGCCGGGAGGGCAACTAATTTCTAGATTTAGATTTCTAAACCTTGTACATGGGTTTTTCACCTGAGTGAAGCAAGGCACATTTGCTAGCAATCTAGGCCTTATAAGCTGGAAACACTGGCATTCCCAGGCAGGCCGTTATGAAATGTTATCAACATCATGACTAGGTTCCATGATCATTCACAATTTTCAGTTCAAAGCCAAACTTTGCTTCTACACTACAGTTGCTGTGAACTTCCTGTTGAAAGTGTACATGAGAGTTTGTGCACAGTAGTTTAAAAGTGTTGCACAAAAACCTACACAGAGTAAACTGGTGTTCTCCCTTTTCTCTGTGTGTCAGTAGTTGAAAATAAATGATCACTTCATCTTGGTTAAAAAAAACAATGAAGTAACTTTTACTGCAAGACATGTAGAATAGAATAAACGGTGCTCTGACCTTTGGTTAGTTATACATAAAACTTGTGTTTTTACTTATTTATATTGGTATATGGTCTTTTAAACTTGACAAACATAGTTACTCCTTCTTATATACATCTCTAACAAAACTTCCAGATTATCTGACACCCTCGCTGACGGACAACTAGCCACCTAACTGACAAACAGCCAAACAACTACTTTATATATCTATCGGACAGTTAACCTTCCCAGTGTCTCTTGCTTAATTAATGCCGGAAAGATTCTTATTGGCTAGAATGCTCTATCATGACATTCTAGTTTTTCCTATATACACATGCATGCGCACTGTGAAATGCAGCCTCTCAAAGACCATGATCTACTGCACTAAAATTTGCATCCAAGTGACCTTGCAGGGCACAAGGCTCTGCAAAGCGAGTCAAAGGATGCAGGAGGGCTACTATTTTTTGCATCACACTTTTTCTTACCTGGAACATTTCATTAATTCCTTCTCCCGTCTGCGCTGAGGTCTCAAAATAAAGGAAGCCCCGGCTTTCTGCCCAGAGTCGCCCTTCACTTTCATCCACACAGCGAAGCTTGGTAGCGTCAATCTGAAAGACAAGTAAGGAAAAATGTGATTGTCCCAGTCGATGATTCTTGGCTGCTCTGCCCCCTCCTTTTTTTGCACACAACAATTCAAACTGGCGAAGTCTGCAAATTACACTGCTTTCTGATCTGCTTTTTGGAGAGGAGGGACTGGTTTGCTTCTTCTTTTGGCAAGAATTAGAATTTCAAGCAGGAAAATGTCAACCACCTCTCCTTTTCCGGAAAAGAATTACCTTGTTGGCACAAACCACAAAGACGATGTTCTCCATGTTTCCATGAGGTCCAAGCTCCTGCTTCATCTCAGCCAGCCATGAGTCAAGAGCATCAAACGATTCCTTCTGTCCAGTGTCATAGACTAGAATGACACCCTGGGTATCTTTGTAAAACTCATTGCGCACCTAAACAGAGCACAGAAACAAGGCAAATGAACACAATGGACTAGCAGGAAGCTCCATGAAAGAAAAGTGACGATGAATCAGACCTGGATAGATCTGGACTTTACAGGTCAGTTGTGGAAGGATAAGCATTTCAAAATAACTTACACAAGGACCCATATGACACATTCACCAACTGTAAGTAGACATTTGCTATGTGTTTCTAAGTAAGCAACATACCCAGATAGCTGGAGCCCAACATGCAAATTAATCAACCCCTACCAACTCATAAGACTACACAGTAAGTCTTAAGTGACTAACATGACTGCCAACCTTAGTATATCTTCTAACTGTCAATGACTCATGATAATGGGTGGAGATGGACTACAGAGGTGGGAATTTTCACTCATTCCCCCATCTATTGTCCATCTAATGAGTCTATTCAAACCAGGGGGAAGTGAAACCCATAGGGAGGATGTATTGGGGTCTCCTACCAACTCTCCTCAGACTGAAGAAGCTACTGGGATGAGGAGCGAAGAAAGAAGGCCAGCTGCCATGACTCAACTTCCAGAGAACCTCGCCCGGATGACTGAGAATCTTCTAACTACGTTCTTTGTCAGGGAGCGGTCTACATTTCCCATGTAGAAACCTCCGTGTTTCTGTCTTGACCCCATCATCAAAAATCAATGGCCATCTCATTTACCTCATAGAAGAAGGGGTGCCCAGCCATGTCAAAGATGTTCACTTTGATTTCTCGGTCCCGGACCTGCACTCTGGAAGGAAGAGGAAAACAGTCGTAAGATTCAAGCACGGGCAATAACCTTCTTTTCCCCTCACACCCAGCATTTCTGAAAAAAAATAGGAGCAAACAACAGTTCTTGAAATATCACTCATCAACAGAGATAAATTCTGGCACGCTCACATAATACGTGAAAAAGATGGGTATCTGAATAAATGAACCATGAATTCAGAACCAAAAGGAACAGATTACATGCTACTCTTCCCAAGACGACTAGCATCACAGAAAGGGATCTTCTCCAGGTCAGGGTTTTGACTATATGCAGAATTCAATATGCCCACAGGGATCTCACAGGTTCACGGCACCTAGTTCCACTAGGACTATGGCAGCAAACTTGCTGAACAAACAAAGCACCTCTTTCACTTTTAATGTCTTTCACAGACATACACATACATTTCCTTTTCGTTCTCACCAAAGGTCCCCCTTGACATTTAGTCCAGTTGTGTCCGACTCTAGGGGGTGGTGCTCATCCCCGTTGCCAAGCCACAGAGCCGGCGTTTGTCCAAAGACAGTTTCCGTGGTCATGTGGCCAAACATAACACTGTTACCTTCCCACCGAGGTGGTACCTATTTATCGACTCGCATTTTTACATGTTTTCGAACAGCTGGGTTGGCAGGAGCTGAGACAAGCGACAGGAGCTCACTCCGTCGTGTGGATTTGATCTTACGACAGCTGGTCTTCTGACCTTGCATCACAGAGCCTTCTGCGGTTTAACCCGCAGCACCACCCATGTCCCTTCGTCCCTTTCAGAACCTACTAGAACATAATTTCTGTCTTTCAGGAAGAAAATAATACTTACTTGGTGACCCCATAATCGATGCCTATTGTGGCAAGGTACTTGGGCACAAATCTCTTCTCACAGTATCGCTTTATAATGCAGCTCTATAGAGGGGAGGAAAAAGGCAAAGGAGACATGTGGATTGTACCAAATTCGATCAACTGTCCGTTCACCTCACTATGCATTTTGCTTCACAAGGCTAACTGCGAAATGTATCACTTCAAAATACCCTACTGAAGTTTGCTGTGCGCAGCTGTGAATCATCACTCCCTCCTGACGCAAATTAAATCAAGACCTGAGCACAATTCTTCATGTTAAGATCTACTGGAACTCACTGATGCATTTAGATTAGGCCTCCTTCAGTCTCGAGAGATGATGGTCACGTGCTCTGTATGGAGGACTTGGAACAGCATCTAGTGTGGTTGAGAAGGCCAATTTGAGAGTGACATACTCCCTTCCACACTGAATACAAATACAATCTGTCCCCAGCTGCTTTTGGGATGGCCTCTTTGCCCCGACTGAAGACAAATACAATCTGTCCCCAGCTGCTTTCGGGACGGCCTCTTTGCCCTGGCCGGATGGACAAGGGTCTCTTCAAATTGATGCATAGTTGACATAATTCAGAAGCAATTTCCTGCATGTAAATTGCTTTTCAATACACTAGCCATGTTGATAAGCTGAAACAGAAATGTCTCTCCCCCCAACCTGACACCAAAACTCACTGAAATTACCATCATCAACCATTGTGATGGAAGACATGCTCCCCAGATTTGCCAAATTGCAGTGTTTTTAGCCGGGAAATAGGACGCCTATTTTATTTTGTGGTTTCTGCATGCTTTCTTCCTTCAGAGCTGCATGAATAATTTTCAAGCACATCAAAACACAAAAAGATCCAAACTATTCGAATGCTTTTTAAATCATTTTATTCACTGAATATGTATGCTTCTTCTGCTTCTCACTTCTGTCCTTCTATCCACCACTAAACTTTTGTTGTTCAAACAGGTTAATCTTTAACCATTCATGGAAGCCAGCTTCCTCTCTGCTGACATATTATAAATGTTTTAATTTTCATAATAACTGTCGATATGTCTAGGTAAAGATAAAGGTTCCCCTTGACATTTAGTCCAGTTGTGTCCAACTCTGGGGCGCGGTGCTCATCTTCGTCTCCAAGCCGTAGAGCCAGCGTTGGTCCGAAGACAGTTTCCGTGGTCACGTGGCCAGCGCGACTAGACACGGAACACCATGACCTTCCCATCAAGGTGGTGCCTCTTTATCTACTCGCACTTTTACATGCTTTCAAATGGCTAGGTTGGCAGGAGCTGGGACAAGTGATGCCACCACGTCCCTAACTAAGTCTAGGTAATGACAGTCTTTTTAAAAAACCCAATGCTGAATGAACTGGAAGAGGGGGAAAAGGAGACAAAACACACCATTCTGATTGGGGAATGGGAAGATTAAAATAGACACCCAACCAAAATATATAGACCTCTTGAGAATGGCTGACCAACATAAATTATCCAAATTCGTTTAAACAAAGCTGGTCAAGTGCACAGATCTTTTCCCCCCAATCCCCACCTTGCAGGCCAATATGGTTATATTCATCTGCCCATGTCTGTATCAGGGAGCGACACAGCAAATAAAGTAAAGGCAAGGCCACCATCATCAATCTTTCTGAGGAGTCCTCTATGGCAGGTTTCTTATGGGTTTCATGGTCACCTGCTGGCAGCTATAAGATCGGGTTGAAGCACAGAGTGGGGCGGAAAAGGAACGCCTGGATTGGCTCAGTCAAAAGCTGTGCAAACGATTCATTAAAATTCTGACCTGGTTTTTCCCTTTGTTCGTCCTTCCTTTCCTTATCGTCCTGCCCCTGCTCTCTAAATCTGTCTTCCTTGCGAATCACACTTTTTACGCCATGAACCTGACAGATGGGACTGTCTCGGTGACTAATTTTTGCAAGCTAACCGGAGAGTTTCTTTTGAATGAAAGGTGGAGTTCAAATGCTCTAATCCAAAACAAGTATGTCCTCAACTGCGTTGGAAATGAAACCCCAATGTCTGTTCCGAGGGATCTAAAAAAAGATGGGCAGGGGGGTATGGGTCCTAACACAGTTAGACTGATTTTCTCCTCTGGGATGATCGGTGGCTGCTTCCTCCTAGGCTCAAGAAAGGCTAAAGGCTCACCATAGCCTCCCTAGAACACGGAAATAGAGCCTGCCTGCCTGGGGTCCTTTTGAGGAGAAAGGTAGGGTGAAAACGTTTTAAATAAATAAATCATAAATAAACAGAAACAGTTGCTGTTTTCTCTCTCATCACATGGTCCGGGAGGGAGGGCCTGCTTGTTTTAACTGGGAAGTGGCTGGACCGCGCGCCTAACGGCACATGAAATTCTCAAATACTCTAACTCCACCTCCGATCATAAATTGGTAAATAGAAATCACC